CTGGGAGGGAGTATACTGCTACCCTTTGCCCGTTTCTGTCGTGACCTGTGATTTAGTTTTCCACCTGTCCTACCCCAGGGGTAGGGGTGGGGGTGGGGGTGGGGCGAGTAGTTGACTGCAATGTTGACAAGTTACCGGTCAGTCAGAGAAAGTGTGCTTGCTGGAATAGCGTTCTTTTAAATGAACCTTGCTCTGCCGAATCGAGGCGTGGTGTATTAGGACATACAGGCCTAGGACAAGCTCTTATAATTTGTGAAAGTTCGTCACATTGGTCGTCTTAAACTTCCGAACCACTTAATGTTCAAACTTGAAAAAAAATTACGGCTGTTCAGAATCGTTTAAATGGTGCACAGTTATATTAGGAGTCTGAAGCCGCTGTAGTTTAATTTTCAATAAAAAAAAATTAGTTTCGTGTAGATCTAGATCTATCTAATCTAGGGAAAGTCCGTCTTCTAAGACGCCGTTGTTACATCATTGTAAACAAGTGTGGTTTCCGTTCACAAGGACTGCGTTCTGGCCAACAATGACTTGACGATCTATTCCTTTGAGTCTGTTCATCGAAAGGGGTACCTAGCTTGTAATATTATATTTCTCACCAGTAAAACTGTAAACCAACGAGGCAGGGGAGACTCCGAGCTACGCAGGCCCAACTTGGAATGTTTAAACAGACATATGGGTGACGGGGACAGATCAGGATGATATAATTTTGCTTTTTTTTTAGAGCATCCGAGCAAAGAAATGAACGGAGAATCATGATCGTCAATGTCTGTTGCAGATCTGGCACTTGTTGATAATATTATATCTCAGTGTTATGGTCGGAGTGCGCACGCTCGCTCTCTCTCTCTCTCTCTCTCTCTCTCTCTCTCTCGTTTTGCTTTTCTTTTCTCTTATTTAATGGACCATGGGCAACTACTCAAGTTTTATCCGCACCAGAACTTTTAACTTACTCTCCGTACATATCAATTATTTGATTAAGAATATTTTCAAATTTAGCCTGCTAATAATATTGACTTGTATAATTATGTTGGCAGGTAACTGAAGTACAGTAGATCTAATCTAAATGATAGTTCTATGACAAAATGCACTGGATTAAAGCCTATTATTGGATGATTCTATTTCTTGATAAGACCTTAACTGAAAAGAAGACAAAGTCTAATAATATTATACGCTGCTGTCCCGGGAATTATCTACCAGTCTCAGTGTGTTAGTTATTTCATCACCGTGTTGATTATAATATAACTAGCTGGGTCCCCTTTTGATGAAAGGAATGATCGGCGCATTACATCAACTGAAAGTCATTGCCCTACTAGTGCTACTACTATATTTACACTCTACTGGAATGAAGCAATAAATCCAATCCTGAGAGATGCAAAAAATTAGAAGGTTTATAAATATAGTGATGTACCAGTATAGATTGATTCTCTATTCCGTTTTCGTGGTTGTACACTCCAGAATTTCAAAGGTGTGGAAAAAGTGTGCACGGCTATTGAACGGTAACATCACTTGTTTACATTGGCGTCTTAGAAGACGGACTTTCCCAAGATTAGATCTAAACGAAACTAATGAAAAACTGAAAATTAAACAACAGTGACTTCAGGCTCCTCAATAGAACTGTGCACCCTTCAAATGATTCTGAACCGCCATTAATTTGGTCAAACTCGAAAGTTAAGTACGTGGTTCCGAAGTTTTAGGCGGCCAAAGTGACGAACTTTCACAAGTCACAAATATAATTATTATTATTATGTAGATCTAGTATAGATTACGTCGCAGGCTATCTCTACGATGGGACCCCCCC